TGCTCCGCCGGCCCTCGGGCCCGGACACCCTGCTTCCCGCGACCCTGGCCGCCGCTGTCCCCCGCCCCGCTGGCCGGGCCGGGCGGAGATAGGAATTGGGTGGGGTCGCCGGCTTCCGCTCGGAGCCCCGGAGCCCCCCGGGCTGGTCGGTGCGCTGCGGGGAGCGCTCGCTCCCCTCGGATGCGGAGCCCTGGCCCTCCCCGCGCTGGGCCCCACGTTTCCCGAGAGGCCATCGGGGCCTCCAAGCGTGTGTGCGCGGAGGGCCTCTAGCTCCCGCCCGCGCCGGGCCCGGGTGGGGGTTGCCGACAGTCAGTATTAGGTCCCCAGGGCTGGGGGAGGGCAGGAGGGCCGCAGGCCGGGGCCCAGGTCCTTGAGGCACTGCACGCCGGCAGGCACGGCCCCCGGGTCGGGGGCGGCTGCTGCCGGGTCCTCATTGGTATTCGCGGCTGCTCGGAGGCCCGGACTGCGGACGAGGGCCTCCAGCGGAGGGCGGGGCGACGGGGCTCGGGAGCCCGCCCGGGCGGGGAGGACGCTTGGACCGCGGGCGGGCAGCCCGGAGGCGGGGGCGGAGCTGGGCGGGGGCCACCCGGCAGCTGCGCCAGCCTCCCAGGCGGGCTCTGGGGACAGCGCGCCCCGCGGCCCCTTCTGCCTCCCCCGCTCCTGCCGCGCCTTCCCGGACCCCGATCTTGTAAAGGGATTAGCACTTTTCTCCTTTGCTCCTCTCCTGCTCCCAAGACCTCCGTTTTCCCCCAGACCCAGTCAGGCACTCCTGCTCTATCGTCCCCGTCGGTCCGAGCCCGGGGCACTGGAGGTCCCGGCAGTTGGCGTTCTCTTCCCGTCCCCTCCCTGTCCCCCTTCGTACACGTTGGACGTGCCACCCACTCTCAGTCCCCAAGGGCCTGGGGCCGGGCCTCGGCCTTCTTTTCCCCGCGGCAGCGCCAGGCCCGGTGGGGCCGGGAAGGGGCCCCGCGATCTCCCAGGCAGGTCCGAGTGGGATGTGTAGATTCATTCTCCTGTGGAGAACAGGTGGCCCCGAGATCAGGCCCTTTTTGCTCTTTGTATTTTATTTTGAAACTGTATTTAATGCTTTTATATGAAAGGGGGAGGGGCGGGGAGAGAGCTGTCCCAGTCACCCTTATGTGCAAATGTCTTATTTATTATACGTGTATCAGAGATAAGCTGTGAGGTGGTGGAGGAAGGACCTAAAGGAGGAAGGAGTGAGGACAGAGGTGGGGATGGGGGGCCCCAAACATCCCACACTAATGTGTGACTCTCCAGGCCTCTCTGGGCCCGTATGTCTGCTCTTCACGTGGCCAGGCCGGTTCCTTTGGTCTTACAGCCGGAGAGTGGGGAGGTGGGACTTGAGGACGAGGCCTGGAAGCAGAGGAGCCCTGGCACCTGGGGCCAGGAGCTGCCTCTGTGGGCGGGAAAACAGACAGCAAAGAGGAAGCCCTTCCTCATCCCAGCACCCCCAGGCCAGAGCCCACGGTTCAAGTGCCTCAGGCCCAGTCCCCTTGACTCTTCCTGATTGGGAATTGGATTTTATACCATGGATTTTATAGCATTTTTATATAACTCAAAATTGTCAGAGTTGGAATGACCTTGGAGATCAACCAGACCCCGCCCCCTTGACCCCTTCCACAGACAGGTAGCGAAGTTCGGAAACTGAAATGATCACACACAGCCAGGTAGGAGCAGTATAGAACTAGAATAAAAAGCTCAACTCCCGACTCAGTGTTGTTTGCACTACACCACACTGCCTCCCAATCTCTGGTCCATTATTAAGATTTCTTTTTCTCATGGGGCTTGCCGAAGGATGGCACGCGGTGGGTGCTGCAGTCCGTTAGAGCGCAGTGACGCTCCGGGGGATGGCAAAGACCTGCACGCCTCCCTGGGATCAGTGTCGTCCAGGGCAGCTCTGGCCGCCACAGGCTTCAGCTCCAGGGTTCGGGAGCAGGGCTGACGGCCACCCATCCCATGGCCTCTCCAGGAGGCCAAGGGCTCTGGCATTATGTTTTCTGTTGTAGATGCCACCAGGGACAGCATTCCCTGAGAAGTGAATTCCATGTTTGAACCTCCAGGGGTTTTGAGTCAGTATTAAGAGCTTGAGAACAGGGATTATGGATGGCACCTGGCTGGGTACTGCCATTCTTTTATTTTCCTTCATGCATGTTATTTTCGGATCCAGAATGAGTCTTTTATCACTTTTTGCTACTTGCCTGTTCAAAAACAGGAGGCAGATTGGGGTGACCTATTCTGGTCACCCAAGCCCACTGCCAAAGTTCAGGTAAGCCAGGACAGAGAGCTGGTCAGGAATGGCTTTTCCTTTTGACAGACAGGGACGGAGGCCTTGGGAAGACAGGAATGAATGTCTTGAGAGGCAGCCCCAAGCACTCCAGGGGGTTCTCAAAGTGTGGCCATTGGACCAGTAGCATCACATTCGGAACCTCCTAGAAACACAAATCCTTGGGCCCCATCTCGATGAATCAGAAACTGGGGTGGCACCCAGCAATCCTTTCTGATAAGCCCTCCAACGACCACAAAGCTGAAGATCTGTGCAGGAGTGGGCTCAGTGCCACTGCAGTGATTCCTGCTTTGACTGCCCCTACAGCCTCTTGGGTTGGGGGGGGGTCAGGTGGTCCTCCTCTCTCTGTGCCTCCTCCTTGCCTTGGGAGTCTGACATCAACAGGTGAAGTTTCTTCATGAAGTTTTTGTTAATGGTATGCTTGCTATTATGGCCAATATGTAAATGTTACTCTGAATCCATATTTATATGCCACGTTAGAGACATTACTCGAACATTTGTATGTGTATTTGTGAAGTTGTTTGCTTCAGTTATTTTTAAGAAATTTCAGCCTAAGTTTTCTAAGAGGTATGTTGAATAAATTTTTTAAAATCCAGCTTAAGGGTCATGGCAGCCTTAGTTTTGGGGAAGAATAAATCTGAAGGGATAAAGTTCTGATGTATGTGGTCTCCACTTTCCACGGTGAGTGACTCTGTGATGTATAGGCTGCTTCCCGCTGCAGGCAGGCGACCCTCCGAGGTTGGGGTGCGGCTGAACTGGGACAGCAGACCCTCTGGCCCCTTCCACTCCTCATCCTCTTTCTCCTGAGGTCACCTCTTAAGAGGGTCTCTGTGATCTTTCAGAAAGCAAACGCACAGCTTTGCTCTCCTATGGAAATTCTGCAATCTTGGGAATCATTACCAATCTCAACTATTAGTTGCTTTTTAAAGCCTCAAAAGTGGAGTGGGGATGGGGGCCGGTGGAAGCCTGGTTCTTACTTTACCCAAACTGTATGTATAAAGAATAAAATTAGCAGAATGACACCACACTGTGTTTTATTTTTTTTTAATTAATACCACATCAATTTGCAGTTTTACAGGAACCAAGATTCAAGTTCCTTAGGTGCTACTGTATTTTTATGTTGCACGCACATACACGCACACACAGTTTCATTAGTAATAGTTCATCTATAGATTTTCCTTAAAAAAAAAAAAAAAAAATTCCTGTGTGGCACAAAGATCTGTCCAATTACCTAAACACAGCAGTAACAAAACAAAAGAGCTAGGTGTGGAGGCTTCCAGTGCAGAGAAGGGTCCTTTGGAGGGGAAGCCCAAAAAAGTTGATCAGTGCACTGACTTCTTGGGAGGGCATAAGATAGGATGGACAATGTGAAATCAGCTTAAACATTAAAAAGGAAAGGGGGCTAAGTAAATAGGAAAATGGAGTAAGGCAAGGGTACCTTTTACCCATCTAAATGGCTGAAGTAACTTTTCCAAAACAGTAGAAAGAAAACTTCCACTACCTTCTACAGAGTTGCAGTGCTTTGGGACCATCAAAGACTGTAGCCCTTACTTTCAAGTCACCAGCGCACATTCCCTCTGGATTACCATGACCACAAGTTTTACAACCTGAAGGAACTCACAGATGACTTCTTTCAAGTTGACCGAATTTTCATGTTGGAAAGGGAGAAAGACACTTGTCTCAACAGGAATCAGATTCCTGATCGCCCTCCATCTGATGTCTGTCTGGGTTGTTCTGTTTATCTTTTAATTGCACACGGAGCCCATCCACACAATCTGGTCCTGCCTGGTCGCCCTCACCTAAAACTTCTTGGAAAACACTCTCAAAAGGAGCACCCTGGGCCATGACAGAGGTGCTGAGACATTTTATGTGCCTGAAGATGAAAGGAACCCTCAAAACATAACACACACGTAAAGCTAGCCTCAAAGTTAAAACTCCATATGAACCACAGAACATACTTTCTTACACTAATTTGTGGTCTCTTAACCACAGACACACACAAAATCTCCTCTCAAGCCAGCTTGGCTTTGGTCCTTAGGATACAATGATAAGCATAGGTTAAAGATGTAGCATGTGAAGGAGGAAGCTGCGGAGAAAAGATAAAAGCAAAAAAGGCCTTTTATGTTTCTGTATTCACCTCCTGAGAATGTTCCCCCCCAACCCGCCATGGACTGAGACAGGATTACAATAACTCAACAACTGAGGAGCCCACATGCAGATTATTTTTTTCTCTAACAAGTTTACAGCAGTGTACAGCAGTTACAGACATTTATTTCATAATAAGAAAAGTACAACCATATTTATTAAACTCGAGGTGAGGTGGGCAGGGAAGAAGGAGGAAAGCACATTCAGGAATGAGTTCTCAAACTAAAGCTCAGAACTGGTGCCTACGAGAATAGACACAGACGCCACCCTCCCAAATAGAAGAGACTTTCCTTTCCTAGGGGTGAGCGGGAGGGGAGGGTCGTCCCAGCCCCACCTTCCATTTCCATTCTTGGTTCCCAGATGGCATTCTGGGAATCAGAACTCTATCACCTACAGGTTATTCATAGAGTTGGAAGTTATAGCATTACATGAAGAAGAGGAATATCAGGAGTAGCTGCTCACATTGTGGGGCAGGAAGATGGGATCAGAGGGCTGCCAAAAACCCCATGGGAAGGAATCCCACTCTTGTCCCCAGATAATTTCCTCATAAGTTAATCATTATTTCTTAACTTAAAAATAAGGGTAAAACTCTGATGGGAAGCTGTGTAAGACTAGTCCTTGAGAACTGGATAGCAGAGTCCAAGAGCAGTGCTTTATCTTTCATTTTCTCCTTGACCTCCAATCTCTCCCCTTTCAAGCTACAAGTAAAAGCTCCACCACCATTAAGGTACTGATTTATCCTATTAATTTGACTCTCTCTTTATTCTTTTGGGTCCTAAGATATCAGTTCTTTTTTTAGTCCAACAATTCTTGTGCTTGATACTGAGGGTGAAGGGAAAGGAGGGGAGAAAACACCAAATTAAGAAAAAGAAGCTTGGAATGCAGGCTCGAGCTGACACTGAGCACTTCCTTCATAGTACAAGTAATAACGTTATAACTATTAAGTGGTGTTTTAGTAACTGTTGCATTTCTTGTTCCCATGTACTTATTCTGCCTTCTTTTTTGCGACTCCGGGGAGTTTTGCTTGTATCCTATTGAAGAAAAAAAAAAGAAAAAGGTGAAAACAGACATTAGTTGTAGGTTTTTACTTTAACAGTGACACCGAAAGACAGCCCTGGACTTGCTGGAGCAATGTGACAAATAATCTCCCATCTCCACAGGGCTTATTCTGGATGAAAAGAGGCAGGGGCCGAGTCTGGTCTGGGATGAGCCGAGGGGTCCGCAAAGATCCATCCCCACTCCCTGCCATCATGCCTGCAGCCTGTCCTCTTTCACCGCCTGCACCTCTTGCGTCCCTCACTGGGGCCTCCAGAGAAGAATAAGGGGTATGTGGGCATAACGTCTGCTGTGTTCCACACGCTGGCAGTGCAAGAATCCGTTTCTCTGGGAATGCTAGTGACCCACTAGTGCCACAAAAGGAACCAGAAGTCAAGGGTCAAGGTGACAGATAAAAAGACTACAGGAGCTGGCAACAGTTTCCGGCCCTTCACAGAACACCAAAGCTACCCTTCATTTTGTGCATTAAGGTTAGCCATCGCTAAGGTCATTCACATACCTCTCAGCCAATGTCAAAGCCACTCCTCACAAATCCTAGATCCCACAGCAAGGACTGACCAAGACATCAGTTTTAAAGCTAAGCTATGTCCGTATTTCACAATCAGGAGTAAACAGCAACCAGATACGGATTTGTGCTAACTGTCCTTGCCTGGTTTTAGCTCTAATGTATACCTGAAAAAGCAAAAGAGCAAGTAAAGACCCTGGCATCAAGCCAGAGTGGTGGGCATATATTCATAGTTTCCACTTATCAAAACTGGAAAAAGCACTACAATCTGAGGTGTGAAAGGGACTGGGGCGGGGGCGGCCGGTGTGTGTGTGTGTGTGTGTGTGTGTGTGTGTGTGAAATAAATAAATAAAATCTTTAAAAAACAAAACAAAACAAAAAAGATTTAGCTGCTTGTGTTTTATTTCTTAAATATCTGAATATGAAAAAATGTTAACATTTCAATAAGAAGTGTGGGTTCCTTAGTATTTGCCATAATTACAAAAAAAAAAAAAAGCAACAAAAAACACCAAACAAAAAACCCCAAATGGTTCCTTGGTAGAAGGAGTCATAGAAATGTCTACCAATATTTTATTACTTGATTTTAATATTAAATTGGTTCAAAAAAAAAAAGAGAAAACAGGGATTTGGTAGTTTTAGGAAGGGTAGCATTGTGCCTTGAGTCATTTATTTAGTAAAACTCTTATTTCTGAAAAGAGAAGGAAGAGTCTGGCTTAAAATTGATGCATGCGGGCGGGCAGCTGCGTACACTTACAAGGCCAATTCAGAATGGCAAAGCTTCTAATTCCATTGATCTTAAGACACAAAGGATGTTTTTTAAAGAAGCAGGATGAAATAATTTGTAGTAAAATCAAACTAGTAACCAACATTTTTCTTCAGGATGAAAATTCCCTTTCTTTGAATCAGTATTTTATAGAGGAGGCTAAAAATAATTGGGGAAGAAAAGCAACACGTTCTGATAAAATGCGGAACTAAAGCATACTTACTTTTCAACAATCGACTTGGTCTGATCGCGGGCGATGCCAACATAGTGATCAATCTGGGTCTTTAAGGAAGGGAAGAGACTCAGTTATGGCAACACAGATTAACAATTTTCCTGAAGGTAATGTTCTGTTTCCTAGTGTTAACCATTTTTTAAAAACACTATTGCATATTCTGGGAAATGATAACAACGCCAGTTTTTAAAATTTATTATTATTTTTTATTTTAAGTGGGCTCCACACTCAGCACAGGGCTTGAACTCACGACCCTGAGATCAAGAGTCGCATGCTCTACTGACTGAGCCAGCCAGCTGCCCCAATGATGCCCAGTTTTTATGAGTATTTTAAAAACTTCAGGTATTGGGGCGCCTGGGTGGCTCAGTAAGTCAAGCCCCACACACCAGGCTCAATGATCAGTGGGAAGCCTGCGTCTCTCTCTCCCCCCTGCTTGTGCTCTCTTGCTCTCTCTCTCAAATAAAATCTTAAAAACAAACAAAAACCCAAAAACTTCAGGTATTAGGGGTGCCTGGGTGGCTCACTCAACTCCTGATCTCAGCTCAGGTCTTGAGGTCAAGCCCCGCGCTGGGCTCCATGCTGGGCGTGAAGCCCACATAAACAAAACAAAATCCAAAAAGACCCTTTGGGTCAGACTTTAAATTATGCCATAAACACCTTATAATACTCTGTTGAAGTAAAAATCACTCATTTCTTTTGCTAAGGTTTTACTTGTTAGGTGTTTCCTTTACAGATACTGGAGTAAAGCATTTTCTGAATACTAAAAACGGTCTATTTAATCTATATTCTGTAATCACAAATGTGTTCTGGCCCCTAGGTAAGACTAATTCATTTAATACCAAAAGGCATAAATAAAGCCTGTTGATTGATGACTTAATCTGTAAAGAATAAACTCATAGCATCTAGCAAGGCTTTGTATTCACCATTCCACGATGCAAACATCTCTTCACATAGATGGATTCCCATAATAGCCTTGATAGTTTAAATTTCTTTTCGGACACCAGCTTTTATCTATTTAAGCATTTTTTCAACTTCTTTTTTTGAACAGATAATGCATCCACATGAAATACTTAAAAGACCCACAACAAGGCATAAAAATATACCTTCCTACCCTTCTCTCTCCTAAATCTTGGTACAGGAAACCACTATTTCTTACAGGCTCCTGACTTACAAACTTAGACTGCAGAAATGGTTACAAAATGATCGCTCATGGGGCCCTGGTGGCTCAGTCAGTAAAGTGTCCAACTCTTGGTTTCGGCTCAGGTCGTGATCTCAAGAGTCATGAGATCAAGCTGGGCGTGGAGCCTGCTTGAGAGTCTCTCTCCTCCTCCCTCTGCCCCTCCCGCTTGTGCACTCTCTCTCTCTCAAATAAGTAAATAAATCCTTAAAAAAAAAAGAAAGAAAATGATCACTCCAAACCTTCAATGCCTAAAAAATAAACTAAAGCTAGTCATACATCAACAGGCATATCTGATTCGAGACAGACAAGCGCTCACCTTGTACTTCTCATAGACAATGGGGACACTGAAAATAAGCAGTTCGGCTGTAAGAGAATCACAGGACACGGCAAGTCTAAATGTGAGACAGTCAAAAAGACCCAAGACTCAAGTAACACGCACATTTTTCCTCATGAAATATAGGGAAACACAGATCTTCAATATGAGAAATCCTACCTAGGGCTCTCATTTAAGGATAGGTAGCTAGAGGTACACAGGCTTTCTTTGTATCACAAATAATTTCCAGATTATGAAAATGATTTCTATAAGATCCCCAATATTTAAACCAAATGTAGACAACTCTCCTTTACTTCTGGTTGTTTTGATATTTCTTTATAGTTAAGACCTTTCAAAAAACCTATGGCCACAAACACAGGTTCTTCCAACACCTAATTCAAGGTTTATGGATGTTAAAGGCTAGGCCACATGGAAGGAGTGGAGACATGCTGGGCATTTCTCTTGGCTCCTACTTTTACCAATTACAGATGACCCCTCAACATCGTGGGGATTAGGGGTAGGATACCCCATGCAGTCAAAAATCTGCATATAACTTTTGACTCCCCCCCGCCAAACTTTACTAACAGCCCACTGTTGGCCAGAAGTGCTACCAAGAACAGTCAATTAACACATATTTCGTATGTTATGTGTATTATACACTGTATTCTTACAATAAGGTAAGCTAGAGAAAAGAAAACGTTAGTCAGAAAATACATTTACAATACTGTACTGTAAAAAATCTGCATATAAGTGGACCCCCACAGTTCAAACCTGAGTTGTTCAAGGCTAGTTGTACTTCAAAGAGCATGGAGACATTTTCCTTGTCACCTTACCGAGAATCAGAAGGGTGATTCCATTGAAAACAGCACCAACATAGGTCATAAGCCACATGAAGACAGCCAGCTGTGAAGGCCAACATCAGAGGGTTACGCAGGGACAATCATAATGCAAAATTTAGGTTAACTGATGCCATTCTCCTCTTGCCAATTAAGTCTGCATAAATTTAGTGATGTATGCCATACATAATTATAATTTCACAATGAAGGTTACACACCGTCTGCACCATACGCTGGAAGTGTGCATCAGAGCTCAAAAACAGACTGTGACTGCATTTCTGTCAATGACGGTGCCCTTGTTGGGAGGGCACTTAGTTCTACAGGTGTAGGAGATGTCTTCTCTACTGACTCCTATCCCCATTTTTCACAGGTTGAGATAAGCATACATTTGTTTTTATGCAAAATACATTTGCATACATTTATTTACTGTTTTTCCTCTGAATTATAACCTAGGCCCTGGTTTTCTTCAGCCTCACCACCAAAAGCTGTAGAAGCAACTAACCTTCAAGGAGTCAACCAAATCTTCCACCAGAAAGAGACGAATAATGAGTTTCAGGGCTCTGTTGATGTGCACCATGGCAGCATTCACGTAATTATGGAAAGCTTCTGAGGACAGAGTAATGTCTACATCCAGGTAGGCTCTTCCAGAAGAAAAAACAACAGTCATACATTTGACAAGGAAGAAGATCTCTTTCTGTTAGTAGAGCAGTTATTTAGAGTGTGAAATTCCCCCAAGGGCACATTTTAGAAATCTGTAGGGGCATTTTTTGCTTTCATGGGCTGGGGAGAGGGCACCACTGTCTTTCAGTGAGCAGAAGCAAAGATGCCAGATGTCTGCAAAGTGTGGGACATTCATACACAATAAAGAATTGTCCTATGCCCTGCATAACTTTTACTGCCTCACAGGTATTTATGAAGGTGAACTCATTTATAATTACCAAAAGCCCAGAACGTATAAAAACAAGGTATTTTCCCCAGTTTTAACATATCCTGAATTTTCTAAAAAAACTGTATTTTGTTTATGCTAAACTTTACTAAGACATTTTACACTACTTTGGAAAATCACATCTGTACTGGAGATTATACATCTAAGTACAAGTATCTAATGTCTCTATTGTTTTGTGTGCGTGTAGTCATGTCCAAGCAGTTAAATATTGACTGGAATATATATTATTTTACTATAAATGACTTTCTATCTTATTCCTTTATATTACAATTACAGTCTATTTTTGAAATTTTGTTAATAGATATCTATGAATTTCATTTCAAAATGATAAAAGAGGCATTATAAAATATTTGTTAACAAAAGAAAAAGGAGAGTGGAGATACTGAGTTTGATAGGACGGACAAAAGACTTGGGTTCTGTTTGCAGATGCACTACAGAATTGAGATGTAACCATGTGCTCATAACTTGTTCCTTCACTCGGTACTTACTGAGTGCCTACTGAGTATCAGACCCTCTGCTATGCACTGATATATCAGGAAAGAGAAGACTGCTTTTGCCTTAAAGAGCCTATAATCTTGTGGAAAAAAGAGAAAGGAACAGGCATGCTTTCCTTTCCTATTTATTAAGAAAATATTTACTACCAAATACAAAAGTTATAAAAATTAGATGCTGTAATTCATACAACTTGACAAAACACATTTTATATTCCATAACAGTGTCCTGCAGAAGAGGAAAAACGCTGCTAAGACATCTGAGCTTGTAGCAAAAGTCACATTTATTCACTCAGTGAGCAGCTACTGATTTGTTAAAATTAATTCACGATAACTTTTTAAATGCCACATATAGTTTAAATTGTCTTCTATTTTCACCAAGAGAAAATAAAAGGACCAGAGCTGCAGCCAGACACTTATTCTGTCATAGTCTTGAGAGGTCACGGAAGAGTTTCTTTCCCTATGACGAAAAGGTTTTGAAAAAACGGTCATTTGTGAATATTAAAATTGTTTATGGGCTAAGATTTCCAAGAGGAAAACATTTGTTAAAGTTACAGCACAGAAAGCTAGCAAGTGGATTCTAGAAATGCATGACCTACTGACCTCAAGACTTGCTCCTGGTATTAAGAAAACTAAAGGGGGGAAAAAAAAAAGAAAACTAAAGGAGAGATAAGAAGGAAATCAGTAATAAAACTAAGAGCAAACATATCAAATTTTGATATTGCTAAGAGCACAGCCTCAATACTGAGATTTCTAAGTTGTTTTAAGGTTTAACTATATGGGAGGAGGTGGGTGGGGGGATGGGGTAACTGGGTGTTGGATAATAAAGAGGGCACGTGATGTAATGAGCACTGGGTGTTATATATGACTGATGAATCACTGAACTCTACCTCTGAAACTAATAATACACTATGTTAATTAACTGAATTTAAATAAAAAAATGTTTAAAAAATCAAAATCAAAACCAAACCAAAACAAAAAGATTTAACTATAATAGGGAACTTAAGCATGTCCTTGGGACCCCATCTAACCGGGTGCTGTCCTGGAGGCCCTGCTCAGGAATTCAGACAGTCTTCTTTGCTCTTAAAGTGTGAGCCCCTAGTTTGTCAAAAAGTTCTTGGCTCCTAACTTGGTCACTTTTGAAGTGGCAAGGTTTCTAGCTGATGGTTCATGCAAGGGATCAGCTGCATTAGACTCTATAATTCTTCACTTAGTCAGGTCTGATTGGTAGACCTGCCCAGCCTCGGCAAACCCCTTCTCTAAACTGTCGAATGTTACTTGTGATATTTCCACTCACTTGAATGGATGGCCCTCTTCTGATTTCTGTACAGCTTGGATGACAGACTTGTAGACCCTGAAGCTGATGGTGACAGAGAGAAGAGCCAGGATGAGGTAAGAAACCACACTGATGACACTGAAAGCTGCCAGGGAGAGCAGCATGATCAGTGTGGTGCCAAAGACAAACCCAGTCTTCTTCACATCTCGCCAGAAAATCAGATCGTGCACTGCCAAAAGAAAAGGGAACACAGGTTACATGCAGCCACGTGGCCAGGACTGCTCTTTGGCTGTGTCCTGCATACCTGAGAAGCATTACACTAGCATGCAATTACAAGAGCAACCCTCCTTAAGAGAATCTGTTAAATGAAAATCAAATTGTATGTCAGGAGTGAGGACTCATACTGCAAAAGGTTCTTGTGGTTTCTGGACAGGTTCACAAAAACTTAGAAACTTATTTTTTTAGAGATGGCTACTAAAGTACAATGGGATAAAGTGTCAATTTCTTGGAATGCTTTAGCAGAAAGGATGTAGAATAAGTGTGATAAAATCTTGTTAATTGTTGACTAAATTAAGCAAACCATGCCGATAAATTCGTTTGGTCACTATAAAACCAAAGCTAATGTGTATAAATTGGGTGGAGGCAGAAGAGAGTGGTGGATAAAAACAAACCAAACTCTACTAGTGTTAGCTGCAACAAAACACCTATGTCTCTATGTTAATCTGAAGAGAACTCAGGAAGGATGATAGGTAGGGGACCACATCATTATCTAAACCGCTATACCTCTGAAAAAGAATGGGGACACTATAACTAATTGTTAGGAAATAGGTATAAACCAAAACTGTCTCAGGGAAGTGGGTCTTATGATGTGGGACAGCCAAACTGGAAAAATCTAAGTTCTTCTACTTAAAGACACCTCAAGAACTGTGTGTAGAAGTTTCTAGTAATCACCTTCAATCTAGCAATGACACTATATTTGAATTTTCAATCTGTGAAGGTTAACTTCAACATTAATGGTCCTATTGCAGGTTTTTTCTGTTCATAAAGAAGGGCAAGGGCTGGGCGCCTGGGAGGCTCAGTTGGTTAAGTGACTGCCTTCGGCTCAGGTCATGATCCCGGAGTCCCGGGATCAAGTCCCACATCAGGCTCCCTGCTCAGCAGGGAGTCTGCTTCTCCCTCTGACCCTCCTCCCTCTCATGCTCTGTGTCTCTC